GAAGGCCCAATTAGGATATCCACATTGCTCTAGAGCCTGTCTTGTGTGGGATTTCTCCTTCTGCCTGGCTCCTGAGTTAGTGGGGACGCTGTCTGCTCTGTGGTACAGAGTCCTGATGACTCCTAACTTGTGCTCCAAAGGGTGATGGGAGTCAAACTGCAAATACTGGGCTGTGTGGGTGGGTTTGCGGTACACCTCAGTTTGCAAAAGTCTATCAGAGACTGAGACCTCACAGTCCAAGAAAGCCAAACTGCCATTTTTTACATCTTCTCGTGTGAACTTGATGTATTTATCCACAGAGTTGATGTGGTCAGTAAAATGTTGGACTTCCTGAGATTTAATTTTAACCCAGGTGTCATCAACATACCTGAACCAATGACTTGGTGGTGTCCCTGAAAAGGACATCAAGGCTCTCTTTTCTACCTCCTCCATGAAATTAAAAAAACACCTTGCACAAACAAGCACATATTTATGTAGACATTCTGCAATAGGAGACGAGAGCGGTCAACAACGCTCACGAGGTCGCTGTAATCAGTCAATGTCCTCCGGTGAGATCCATAAACATTCTCAAGGTATGTCGAGAAATGTCCAAGAATAACCTCTATGAGAATCCAAGAGTCCTGAAATGATGACACAAAGTTTATTCAGCTGGTTTCATCTGGTTATCAGTTGGTAATTCCTCAGGGAGGGGGTGGTGAGCGTCAGATCACATTTTCTCCAGGCAAATTCAGATAAGATGGCCTTCAAGGCCAACCAAGTGGAGCCAACTTAGATAAACACACAGTTGTTTTGGGGATAGGCAGAACTTAATGGCATCTACCTTGAGTATGTGTTGGGAAACTCGGTTCCGAAATGTCCAAAATAACATGGCCACACCGATGGAACGTGACTGAGTAAATTCCCTAAGAGCTGATCCATTCAGCCCAAAGCATTTGAGTCCGGGTACACGAGACACGAACCAAGCCATCAAAAAAGCAAAGCAGCATGATCGGGTCCAAATTTGCTGCTGACGACTTCCTTGATTGTAGATAAAAACCAGCACCAGCTGAATCCAAAATAGCAGGAACCAGTTATCGAAAATCCAATTAAATATGCGTCCTTAAAATCCACAGATGGCAGCAGATAGACACATCATCAAGTCTTCCAAGTCTATGAGATATCCAGCTGCGTGCGTGCCAACAGGACAAAATCGGCTCGCCTAAAGCCTGTCTTTTCTTTGAAGAAATGTTGTAAATTGAGTTGAGGGACCAACTGATCAAAACAGTCCATAATTATGGTTCGGAAGAAATGCATGAGAGTCTCACAGCAGTTTCACAGACAGACAGAGAAGCAAAGCGGAGAGGGAGGGAGGGAGGGAAGCATCCAATCTCGGCTTGAGCAAGTGGTGAAGTGGGTAAAAGTTATAAACAGAATCGAGCAAGTGGTGAAGTGGGTAAAACTTATAAAAGTTATAAACAGAATCAGTGACAACAGGCAGCCCTGGAGGAGTCCAACTCCCACCCTGAAGGGGTCCGACTTACTGCTGGCAATGCGAACCAAACTCTCGCACCGCCTGCATAGGGATTGAACAGCCCGTAACAATGGGTCTCCAATCCCATACTCACGGAGCACCCCCCACAGTGTACCTCGAGGAACACGGTTGAATGCCTTCTTCAAGTCCACAAAACACATGTAGACTGGATGGGAAAACTCCCATGACCCCTCAAGGACCCTAGTGAAGGTAAAGAGCTGATCCAGTGTTCCATGGCCAGGACAGAACCCACATTGTTCCTCATGGATCTGAGGTTTGACCAACGATCGGACTCACTCCTCCAGTACCCCTGAATAGACCTTATCAGGGAGGCTAAGGAGAGTGATGCCTCTATAATTGGAGCACACCCTCCGGTCCCCCTTTTAGAAGAGGGGAACCACCACCCCAGTCTGCCAGTCCAGTGGCACTGCCCCCGATGTCCACGTGACGTTGCAAAGGTGTGTCAGCCAAGACACCCCACAACATCCAGAGCCTTAAGGAAATCAGGGTGAATCTCATCCACTCACGGAGCCTTGCCGCCTCGGAGCTTTTTAACTACCTCGGTGACTTCAGCCACGGTTATGGATGGATCAACCCCAAAGTCCCCCAACTCAGCTTCCTCCATAGAAGATGTGCTAGTGGGATTGAGAAGGTCCGAGAAGTATTCCTTCCACCTCCCACCAACATGACTGGTTGAGGTCAACAACAACCCACCTTCACTGAACACAGTGTTAGTAAAGTGCTGCTTTCCCCTCCTCAGCCACCTGATAGTTTGCCAGAATCTCCTCGGAGCCGACTGAGAGTCTCTATCCAAGGACTCATCAAATTCCTCCCACGTCCGAGCTTTTGCCTCAGCAACAGCCATGGCTGCACACCGCTTGGCCCTCCGGTACTCCTCAGCTGCTTCCAGAGTCCCACTGGCCAACAAGGCCCGATAGGACTCCTCCTTCAACTTGACAGCCTCCCTAACCCGGGGTGTCCACCACCGAGTTTGTGGATGATCACCGCGAGAAGCACCAACAACCTTGCAGCCACAGCTTAAGGCAGCTGCCTCAAAAAGTGAGGTGCAGAACATGGCCCACTCAGACTCAATGTCCCCCACCTCAGCTGGGATGAGGTTAAAGCTCTCTCGAGAGTGTAAATTGAAGATCTCTCTGACGGGTTCTTCTGCCAGGCGTTCCCAGCAAACCCTCACTACACGTTTGGGTCTACTGGGTCTGTCCGGCATCTTCCCCTGCCATTTGATCCAACTCACTACCAGGTGGTGATCAGTTGACAGCTCAGCTCCTCTCTTTACCCGAGTGTCCAAAACAAAAGGTCGCAAATCAGATGACACAACTGTGAAGTCAATCATCGATCTACAACCTAGGGCTTTCGGGTGCCAAGTGCACTTATGGACACCCTGATGTTCAAACATGGTGTTCGTGATGGACAAACTATGACTAGCACAGAAGTCCAACAACAGAACACCGCTCGGGTTCAGATCAGAGGCGCTGTTCCTCTCAATATACTCCCAATCACGCCCCTCCAGGTCACACTGTCATTACCCACGTGAGCATTGAAGTCCCCTAGCAGAATAAAGGAGTCCCCAGCTGGCGCACCTTCTAGCACCCCCGCCAAGGACTCCAACAAGGCCAGATACTCTGAACTGTAGTTTGGTGCGTAGGCACAAACAACAGTCCGAGCCCGTCCCCCCCACCCGAAGGAGAAGGGAAGACACCCTCTCATCTACCCGGGAAAACTCCAACACACAGGCACCAAATCCGGGGGCTACAAGTAGACCCACACCAGCTCAACGCCTCTCACCATGGGCAACTCCAGAGTGGAATAAGGTCCAACCCCTCTCAAGGATATCAGTTCCAGAGCCCATGCTGTGCGTCAAGGTGAGCCCAACTATATCTAGTCGGTACCTCTCAACCTCGCGCACAAGCTCAGGCTTCTTCCCTGCCAGAGAGGTTACATTCCATGTCCCAAGAGCTAGCTTTGGTAAGCCAGGGTCAGAGCGTCAAGGTCCCCACTTTCAGCTAATGCCCATGGATTCTTGCACCAGACTCATATGGCCCCTCCTGCAGGTGGTGGGTCCACAGGAAGGTAAACCCATGTTGCTCATTCGGGCTGAGTCTGACCTGGCCCCATGGGTAGAGACCCGGTCACCAGGTGCTCACCGACAAGCCCCTCCCCCAGACCTGGCTCCAGGGTGGGGCCCCGGTAACCTACGTCCGGGCAAGGGACACCGAGTTCCTTTTTGTTTAGAACTTAATTGTTGATAACAACAAAGTCCAGTTAATTGTTGGTAATTTTATATTCTCTGTTTCATATTCTTTTTGTTATTTTTATTCTCTGTTATTATTTATATCTTGTGATTCCTTGTGATGTTCCATTGTACTGAAACTCTGGCACAACAATTTTGTGCAGGATCAATAAAGTTCTATCTTATTCTTCAGTCTATATGTAGGTGGAGCTGCTGTTTTGAACCAGATGCATATTCATGGTCTTCACAAGTGTGTGTTAGCTATTTACATCCAAACAGTCAAGATAAGAGACTGGACTAAACAGCAAAGTATCTGCTATGGATGCAACATTTGCCCCATTTTGTGTATAGATAAATATAGGATAACATATTTATAGGACATTCATAGGATATTTATAATATATTCACTGACAACAGTAAAAATAAATAATAAACAAAAAATGTGTGGCTAATAGGATTAAATATAGTTTTCATCAGTCAGATCAGGAGTGACTGTAGTGTTGTGTTATTTACTTACGGGTCGACCTGAATGACGGTACCATCTGTCAGCACACTTTCCTCCCTGCCGTCGGGGAACAGATTCTTTACCGTTTGATCTGGGAACGTGATTTCCTTACGACCGTCGGGAAAATGTTTTTCTGAAGGAACAAAAAAGGTTGAATCATGTCATCTGGACTTCGTTTTTTTGTTAAAAAGAAACGTTTCGCCCCTCATCCAAGAGGCTTCGTCAGTCTGAGGCCTAGCCATCTGGTATTACCCAGAAGCCACCCTGACTCTTGTGTTTCAAGCCTGCCTCAGATACCCCTGAAGTCTGGCCTTTTCACTAATGGTTTCAAAAACACAAAGTTTGTTTTCTCAGTCATCCAGGTATATAACAACAAAAAAGGTTGAATCATGTCATCTGGACTTCGTTTTTTGTTTTGTCTGAAGCAATAATAAAAAATGTGCATTATTACCGGTACTAATTTTATTAAGGACTGTCTGCAATATCATACAAAAAATAAAATACAATTCCTTTCCTTACTAAACAGAATGAAATAAGCAGTTTAATGAGATGATATCTAAAACCATTTATGGGAAAATAACTATTTTGTTAGTTTAACAATATTCGGGTGTTAAATCGCTACATTCACTCAATACTGAAACATTGCTTTTGGACCCAATGAAGTTCAGTTAGATCATCTGGACGGTTTCTTTTTTGTCCTGAGAAGTTTCGTTCTTCATCCAAAGGACTTCTTCAATCTGAGGAGCATGAACTTTGGTGTTTTGAACCACTTTGACAAGGCTGCCTCTGAGGAGTTGATGGGGGGGAGGGCGTACCCCACAGGCTAGCTTATCACCAGCAAACTATGTTTTTCCCACTATGGGAATGTGCTGTTTGTGGTGGGACTCAGTTTGTTGGTGGCTCCTCAGATTTAAGAAGTCCTTTGGATGAAGGACGAAATGTCTCAGCAAAAAAACAAACTGTCCAGATGACAAAGCAGTCTGCTCCTCAGATAAATAGTGTTAAATTATTTTTATGAATGTTTTTGTTAACTTATTTTTATATATGAATGTCTCTGTTCAGTGTCCTGAGACGACTTCTGTTGTGACTTGGTGCTGTATAAACAAACTGAATTGAAAATGACCTGACTGAACATTGTTGGATTATTACCTGGATTGTTGAGCATGAATTTTGGTGTTTCTTTAGGACATTCTTACGACTTAACATTTTTTTCTGTACCATGGTAAAATATTTACATGTTTGTTTTATCTTTGGTTACTAGTTCCGTCTTTATCACCATTAAAAGTCATTTCTTAAACTTTTGTTTCATGTGTTTGAAGCTTGATTTGTTTTATCTTTTTATATATTTTTTCTTTATTACAAAACAAACCTTACTGTTCAAAATAGTGAACTATGTCCAACACACAAAGTTATTTAATTCATTTTAAAAAACATAACTTGACACTGAAACTAAAATACATCACAGTTGAATGAAACTTATTAGGAAAACTTGTTTTCCCACAAAGTAGTTCATTTCTGCAGTGATACCAGGACTCGTGCCAAAAATCAAAGTAAATCCTTAAAAACTGTTAAATTTACAGTAAAAATAAAAATCAGGTCTGTCCTAATTATATTTCAACTAAAACCAACTCATTGCAGCCAAATAGTGAGTAATGTTCTATAGATCCAGTATCCTCTCTGTCTCACCTGTCTGGTCGTTGGGAAAGTGAAGGACCTCCATCCCGTCAGGGTACGTGATGTGTGTGGTCTGGGCTTCTGCGTAGAAGTAGATCTGAGAACAAGTAAAGCAGTTTTCTGAACATTTGTTCACAGTGTGCATTTTCTCAAACAACATTTATCAATTTTAGTAAATTAGTTTTTAAAAAGACTTATGGACATAAAACAGCAAGGAACTCAGTGTCCCTTGCTCGGACATGGGTTACCGTGGCCCCACCCTGGAGCCAGGCCTGTGGGAGGGGCTTGTCGGTGAGCACCTGGTGACCGGGTCTCTACCCATGGGGCCAGGTCAGACTCAGCCCGAATGAGCAACATGGGTTTACCTTCCTGTGGACCCACCACCTGCAGGAGGGGCCATATGAGTCTGGTGCAAGAATCCATGGGCATTAGCTGAAAGTGGGGACCTTGACGCTCTGACCCTGGCTTACCAAAGCTGACTCATGGGACATGGAATGAAACCTCTCTGGTGAGGAAGGAGCCTGAGCTTATGCGTAAGGTTAAGTCGTATCGACTAAATCGAGTTGGGCTCACCTCGACGCACAGCATGGGCTCTGGAACTGATCTCCTTGAGGGGAACTGGACCTTATCCCACTATGGAGTTGCCCATGGTAATAGGCACCAAGCTGGTGTGGGTCTACTTTTAGCCCCCTGACTTGGTGCCTGTATGTTGGAGTTTTCTCGGGTAGATGAGAGGGTAGCTTCCCTGCACCTTCGGGTGGGGGGGACAGGCTCTGACTGTTGTTTGTGCCTACGTGCCGAACAGCAGGTTAGAGTGTCCAGCCTGCTTGGAGTCCTTGGCGGGGGTGCTTATTCTGCTAGGGGAATTCATTGCCCATGTGGGTAATGACAGTGTGACCTGGAGGGGCATGATTGGGAGGAATGGTCTCTCTGATCTGAACCCGAGCGGTGTTCAGTTGTTGGACTTCTGTGCTAGTCATAGTTTGTCCATTATGAACACCATATTCGAACATAAGTGTGTCCATAAGTACACTTGGCACCAGGACGCCCTAGGTTGTAGATCGATGATTGACTTCATAGTCGTGTCATCTGATTTGCGGCCGTTTGTTTTGGACACTCGGGTGAAGAGAGGAGCTGAGCTGTCAACTGATCACCACCTGGTAGTGAGTTGGATCAAATGGCAGGGGAAGATGCTGGACAGACCCGGTAGACCCAAATGTGTAGCGAGGGTTTGCTGGGAACGCCTGGCAGAAGAACCCCTAAGAGAGATCTTCAACTCACACCTCCGGGAGAGCTTTAACCACATCCCAGCTGAGGTGAAAAAATTGAGTCTGAGTGGGCCATGTTCCGTGACACCATTGTTGAAGTGGCTGCCTTACGCTGTGTCCACAAGGTTGTCGGTGCTTCTTGCAGTGGCAATTCTTGAACTCGGTGGTGGACACTCCAAGTTAGGGAGGCTGTCAAGCTGAAGAAGGAATCCTATTGGTCCTTGTTGGCTGGTGGGACTCCGGAGGCAGCTGAGAAGTAGCAGAGGGCCAAGCGGTCTGCAGCCTTGGCTGTTGCTGAGGCAAAAGCTCAGATGTGGAAGGAGTTCAGTGAGACCCTGGATAACAACTCTCGGTCAGCTCCGAGGAGATTCTGGCAAACCATTAGGCAGCTGAGGAAGAGAAAGCAGCACTTTACTACCACTGTGTTCAGTGAAAGTAGGGTGCTGTTGACCTCAACAAAAATGTTGTCAGAAGGTGGAAGGAATACTTCCCTGACCTTCTCAATCCCACCAGCATGTCTTCCATGGAGGAAGCGGAGTCAGGGGACTTTGGGGTTGGTCTGTCCATAACCGTGGCTGAGGTCGCCGAGGTACTTTAAAAGCTCCACAGTGGCAGGGCTCCGGGGTTGGATGAGATTCACCCTGATTTCCTAAAGGCTCTGAATGTTGTGGGGCTATCCTGGTTGATAATTCTAAGGCAAGCCTTAATATGCAGCGCCTAACCGTGCATGGAATTTAAGAGCGTAAACTACTCTGTGTCTGACTGCAAGGAGAGAGGACCGCAGCCATCCTCCTCTCAGCGTTTAAGTTAGACTGTGGGTATTAGAGAGCCTGAACGGCCTGATTCAAAATCTCCACAACCGGACTCAGCTTCACACCGAGGACACAGCTGTGCCTGGGATTTCATCTGGTAAGTTTATGCTTGTTAACGTTATTGCAACTTAATACGTGCATCGTGGTGAGTTAAACTAGGATCCATGTAACGCTAACTTTAAGAAATTAGTTTAGTATGTAGCTTTATTTTATGTAGCTAGCTAAAATCAAAAGCTAAAGATTGACAGTAACAGATGAAGCTTAACTTGTAAAAATGTGCTCATCCATCGGGTCAACTGATTAAACAGTTCACCTAATGTTCACGGTTTCTCGTCACAGGAGCCTCTGATCCTGATGTGAGGTGGACAGACAAAAGAAAAGCGAGGTGGGGGTGGGGGGGTGGCACAGGACAGTCACAAACTTTAAGTTTGCTGCCTTTTTCTACAGTGGAGGTAAGTAAGCTGTAAAGGATATTGTTGACCAGTTAAGCCTTTATCTCTCAGCCTAGATAATGGTTTTTGAACAATAATAACACAACCACGTTATTGTTGATGTTTTGTGTTCTAATGTCAATTAGGGAGATGATCAGAGCCCTAAACCCCAGAGAACCACAGAGAAGATTCAGGAAGGGATACTGAGGTACAGAAGTCTGCATCAAACCTAACCTCAGTGAATCCAGTGACCTGCTGGTGAAATGTGAGGGACACTATGCCAATGCTATCATACTAGTCAACCGGGTATCTGTGTGTGCAAGCATCACCCACACCCTCAGAGCAAACATTTTCTACTGCTGGAGACACCGCCAGCCAGGAGTGGACTTGTTTGTGTCCAGAGAAAGCAGACGTTGATTTTTCTGAAGAAAAACTGCTAAGTGAAAAGGTCTTCAGTGTGTAGCAGTGAACATTAGACACTGACGTGTCACTGGTTTGAGATTGTTCTTTTGACCTGGAAATTATTTGTTTATTTTATGTAAGAAAACTGCTTGGAATGGAAAAATACCAACGTTAAAAAATAAAACCGAAGATTTGTTCTGTAATGTGTAATGGGGTGCAGAAAAAATTGATTAAAAAAAATAAATAATCTAGATTCTTACCATACCATACAAATTTATATATAGAGCACTTAAAACAGCAACAAGCCAACCAAAGTGCTGTACAATAGAAACAAACAAGCAGAGCGGACAGAAAAACATAAAATAAAAATATAGATACAAATAGCAACAGATAACTAAATGGCCAACACTGTTTGTTTATCCCCCAAATTATTGACAACCCAGGGTCCAGTCCAGGAAGCAGAGTTGTAGTCCTCCACCCCTCTCTGCTGCTTCTCCTCTGTTACCCACCCACACCCACATTGAAACAGTGTCAACTCGCCCACGGCTCAAATTAAATAAACCAAAAATCAGCTCTAAAAATATAAACCATAAAAATCTGATTAAAATAAACACAGTTACTTTACTCATTACTTTTACTTTATAAAATCATTAAATGTGGATTATTGAACATCAGATCTCTTTCCTCTAAATCCCTGTTAGTTAATGAACTGATAACTGATCATCATATTGATTTATTGTGTCTGACAGGAACTTGGCTACAACAGGAGGATTTTGTTGGTATAAATGAATCCACTCCTGTTAATTATTTAAATTGTCATGTTCCTAGAACAACTGGCCGAGGTGGAGGAGTAGCTTCTATTTTTCAGTCAGGATTATTGATTAATGCCAAACCAGTTATTAGTTATGATGCTTTTGAATCGCTGTCCCTCAGTCTTTCTCATCCAAAATGGAAATCAGAAAAGCCACTTTTACTAGTTGTTATATATCGTCCACCAGGAGCTTACTCTCAGTTTTTGTCTGAATTCTCAGAATTATGAACTGACTTATTATTAAATACTGATAAAATCATCATAATGAGTAATTCAATAATTCAATATTCATGTGAATGTTGAGAGTGATAGCTTAAGCATAGCCTTTAATAATTTAATAGACTCATTTGGTTTTACCCAAAACATCTGCACATCTTCTCATTCTTATCATCACACTCTTGATTTAGTTCTGACTTGTGGTATAGAGATTAAGGACTTGGTAATAGTTCCTCAAAATCCTATTCTGTCCGACCATTTTTTAATAACCTTTGAGTTTACATTAAATGACTACACAGTCACTGAGAGTAAATTTCATCTCAGCAGGTGCTTATCAGAAAATGCTGTAACCAAATTGAAACAATCTCTTCCATCAATGTTTTCCTCTGTCTTGCAGAGTCATGCATCAGAGAACAGAGACTTAGATCATCTAGTTGATCATCTTACAACTTCAATGCAAACTTCACTTGATAAAATTGCTCCACTGAAAAAGAAAGTAATCAATCAGAGGAAACTGGCTTCTTGGTTCAATTCTGAGTTACGTACTTTAAAGCAGCATCTAGAAACCAGGAGAGAAAATGGCGCTCTACTAATGTTGAAGAATTTTATTTAACTTGGAAAGATAGTCTGCTAACATATAATAAAGCTCTCCGTAAAGCTAGAACTTTATATTACTCATCTTTAATAGAGGAGAATAAAAATAACCCTAGGTTTCTGTTTAGTACTATTGCTAGACTAATTAAAAGTCCCATTTCTGTTGAACCATGTATCCCTACAACTATAAGTAGTGATGACTTCATGAGATTCTTTATAAATAAAATTATTTCAATTAGAGAGAAAATTCAAACCATCCTTCCTTCTACTATCTCGAGTCCCCTGTCAAATGAGGCAACTTTAAAAATTTCACTAGAGCCTGATTTATGTTTGGACAGTTTTTGTCCTGTTGAGCTCTGAATTGTCAAAAATAATAACCTCATCCAAACCATCCACATGCCTGCTAGATCCCATCCCAACCAGACTATTTAAAGAGGCATTTCCCCTAATTAATGTCCACATTTTGGATCTATTTAATTTGTCTTTAATGGATGGTTATGTACCACAGAGCTTTAAGGTTGCTGTAATTAAACCTTTACTTAAGAAGTCTGATCTTGATTCAG